TATGTGTGCATGTGATTTGTCGCTGCAAAATGTAAATGGGGTAAAGAAACTCTTACTATCAGCAAAATTTGAGATTTGGATCGATATTCTTCTTGAAATCTTCTGCTTTTGACTTTTCATGATTTTACCAATATTAATATCACGGATGTACCAATGGGATTTATGGGAGGAAGAGTCACAGATGAACCAATATTAACAGATATCTCATTTTTTCATTTTTTTTCTGGTTTCTGGTTTATGCTAGTGGATCGCACGAATTAATGATGTAAGTTTTAAAGCTTCATTTTCTTGCTTTCATTTTGATCAGTTGTAGGTGGTACTTCAAATGCATTAAGTGGCTTTAAGTGGATTCATGGGACTCTCATCGACTATTATATGATAAGATGAGACGAAAAGAACTAGCAGCACAGGAAACACATCAATTTGGCAATCATAGAAATGGTTGCAACCGTTGGCGTTGGGGAAGTGAATTACTTAGATGGGGAATATTGGTAAGTATGTGGTTGTGATATATAAATGTGATATAGATTATTAATTATCTACTACATGTATCTACTTCTCCGTCTTCCTTTTTCTGTTCGATTTTGTGTCATTTGGAAATAGTAAACTGCATAGGATGATTCAAATCCGTTTGTTCATTTTCATGCAGAAAAACGTGTAAACTTTTAATTCAAATCGGATAGTTGGTCTCGTTCTACAAGCACGAGAATACAAAGGGAGATATTATCTACCATTAGCGTACAATTGCTCACTTAGGTTAGTTCAGATTCTTCCTTTATATGTTTCTAGAGAATCCGATTTTGTTCTCACTTTGAGGTTTTAGGTTTGAGGTCTCTGATTTGGATTTAGTTCAATTAGTGAACACCGAATGAAGGTGAGATCCTTTTCTAGATATAATATTTATCTCTTCAACCAACCTAAGGTATTGCGGTGTTAAAGATTGAGAATGGATTCTCTGGTTTATTTTGTGAAATTAGTTGAATTATGGGTTCACTCAGGATTTCAGGCGATGTTGGTGGTATTTAAAAAATTGGGAGAATTACTGATTTATCTTCTTATTGTAAAGGCTTTAGAAGTTTGACTAAATAGTAAATACCAACGAGTCATCAACTATTTGATTTCAGTTGGTCCTGCGTCTGTACAGTAAAGAGAGATCATCTACAGTTTTAATGCCTGGTGTGATAGACAGTTTTCCTTCTTTTATTGAAGCCGTAAGAAACATTTGTGGTAAATCCTTGACCCTTTTACTTTTGAGAGAATCAAGTTATCGGTTCACTTCCACGCTTGACTTGCACCCAAGAGAAAGATTTACCAGTCGTCATGGTAGTGGTAGAAACGTAAACACATGGGAAAGTGGAATTCCAATCTATGTGAAGAGATTTGGAAGCAATAGCTATGGACTATGCCGTTGCAGACTGAAACGGTGTGTCTTCTATCCCTAAAATGGATTAGGGAAACAAAATAGTGGAATTAATATTCTTTTTACCCAACCGTTCTTGTCTTTGTGGTTTACGTGAAGGTTGTTTTCTTGGATAGCATGATTAACACGCAAGTTATGATATTCAAGTCTAACACTCCATGTCTTACTTTGCAGTTTATCATCTTCAAGACTGTATTCTCCTTGGCTATGAACAAATTGTGATTTGTGTTTGAATAAAAGTTAAAGGTTTTAGGTAGTGTATCTTTCTCTTTAAGCTGGTTATCTGGTTATATTTTTCTCTCATACTTCAAATTGGAAATCTAGAAGTATGATGGTCCAAGTGGTAGTAGAATTGAACGACACCACATGAAAATAATTGTTCCTATTACATCACTCAATTTAACTAACTTTGGTGAGTCGATGTAAAGTTTAATACTATTACTTGGACCTTAATCCGGGAAAACTTTTGAATCTGAAAAACTGTGGTATTAGGTTAAAAAGCCAAAGGATCAATATGATCTTGGTTCACCTTTTCTATTAATAACAGAATTTCGAAAGGATTTTGCACATGTAGGTCTACAATTTGCTACTTTCAGGATTTATGGTATGTCGTTTCATATTTCTCATGGTAGTTAGTCATTAGGTTAACGACATAAAAACTTATCTCTTCTCAAATATGTGGCTTAACGTG